GCATACATTTAGCATGAAGACACTAAAAAATTGTTCTCCTCTCAAATAACCGGCCCTTATTCCTTATATCCCATTTACTTCTCTGAGTGTTATTTCTGACTAGGGGAGTTCAGTTTATCATGTGTGGAATTCTCTGGAGAAGAAGACTATTTTACGGAGAAACGTAAAGCGCAATTCTCCAAGCACGAAAGCTGCTCACTACAAGCTAAGAGAAACAAATCAATATATTCTTTATGAACGGTGGAAAGGATATTTTCCGATGCATCCTGTCCTTTCGCTAAGCATATTGATGGTATGCCAGAGTATATGAAATTTGTTACTAATTTACTTTTTCCGATCAATTATATCGAACGTTACTCGAAATTGAGATTTTTAATGCCCTATAATATAAAATTATATCATATCCATTTTAAATAAGGTCAATTTTACATTTGATTATTAAGTTAATTCTGATTAACTACTCTTAGGTTCAAATAATAATATACTTATTTTCCTCTATAATTATATACGGTTAAATATAGGGTTTAATATGGTTTGAAAGTAATATCGGGTAAATTCAGACATCTTTATTCCTCCTATATTAGTATATATCATTATCACATTAAATTATGACAGCCAGATGTCTGTCCAGCTCCATAGTAAATCATAGTTTGTGATATGTACATCCAAATCTTTTTGGGAGTGCCTCTAAATTCTCTCTATTCCAGAGTTAATGGAATAAATGCTGGCGCATGTCCTTTGATTTTTCTAACAATGGACGTGAAGAGGAACAATAAGTGAAATATATATGGGTAACTACTAAGTAACCTACCATTATGATGCTAATTTCCTAATCATTTTAATGCGGAACAACTGAGAATTACTCTCAGCTTCCTTCTTACCTTTTTAACACATATTCATTTAGCCCTATTCCCGTTGCAAATAGATTGCCGTTTTTAGCGCTTAATTACCCATTAAATTATATTCAAAGCATGTATAAGTGTCATAAATGTATAGAAACCAGAGATTTTGTTTATGAGAGGCCTAATGTCTACATTCTCATTTCGTTACAGCCTTAAACAATCTTTCCCTTAATAGGTGAGCTTTATACAAGGTGGCGATGGTAGATAGGAGCTGTTACTTTTATGGAATTTTTGTCTATTGAATTAGAAACCTTGCTCTTTAATGAAGTAAAGCTAAAAGCTTAAATAGGCCTTTGTTTCAAAAAGCATGTTTAGCCCTTTTTTCCGATTTATTTTTGAACAGAGTTCGGGGAAAAGCACATGCAAGCCTCTAGTTGTGAAGACTCTGGAGAAGACTTTGCTCTAGTATATATAAGAGTTTGTGGTATATTAGCCAGTTGCCATTCCGGTATGAGAAATCGTGTGATCAGACTAAATTTCTTAAATCTATCTTAATTGAATAAGTACCTACTGCTGTGATTTGCAAGAACAAAACAAATATTGGGGATTTGGTCGGAATATAGAAGACAAACCAGATGGGAAATAAAGAATCGTCATTAAGCAAGCTGTAGCTTTCCAGTATAAAAAATACCATACGGCTTGACATTTTCTAAGATCTAGTGTGGTCCCAAGAATTATAAGGATGGACTTATTTCATTGATTTAGCTAGCCAGATAAAGGGTGAGGCTAAAAGAGTTAATCTACCGGGCGTCATATCATGTCCATTGTGTGCCTGTAGTATACAGATGGGCAAAGATTTAAAAACGACATAAAAGGGAAAAATGCAATTTTTAGCAATGAGTACTGACGAGAAACGAATGCAAAAACGCTTTCGAATTATTATTATCATATTTTTTACCATGAAGTATACCTAACTGCGAAGCTGGCCCGATCCTAAGTCTAATCAACTCGTTCAGCCTCACTTGACTGCTGGTCCATAATGCTTAATTTTGAATCCATTAAAGTACCTCAATTCATTGCTTCCCAAATGATCATTTGATGTTATTAGCTTTGATTTAATGCTATTAGAAAGATATATTCAGTATAGTACTGCGTTAGCAAGAGCTCCAAATTACGGGTTATCATTGTTTTATCCGCAATGTTTTGAAGGACTTAATTAGACACAGCAAGAACACGCCAAAACTTTTGAGAGCTCACCGTTCCTCAAAATAAGGCATTCCAATATCTGGTTGACTGTACGTACCTTTCAAGTACCTCTATTGGAATATCATTAAATGAATTTAAAGGCAAATACTTTAGCCTTGAGAGTTTATTCCAATACATAAGCCACACCGGTACTTTGATTTTCACCAATGTGCTCGATCGGCACAATATGCATAATTCATGATGAAATTTTAACCAATGTTTCAGGTTTTACTGTGGTCGGCCACCACCCAAACCATATGAAAAGCAATGGCTTACATCAGGAAAATATCGCAACTTCTCTTACGGCACTATTCACTTCCGATCCTACGAAGAAGCAGATGACGAAGTTGCTAAAGATGGCCGCCTGCCATCTATTGGTCCTGCTGAAAGATTTCGTAATGTTGTAAGGCGAATTCCTGTTTTTGATAAGTTAAACAAAGAGTATATTGAGGGTTATCTGGAAGTGTGAGGATACTAGATTTATTACAAGAACTTTTAGCAGACAAAAACAATTGTGTACTTCATCTATTTTTATCAATTTGCTTATAACTTATTTATATTTGTAAAAATACACTTAGTCATCTGGTTGATTTCTTAAGGAAAATTATTGCACAAATATCAGGCACACCGTAAATATAAGTCAATAATATAAGTTTTATAAGATGGCAAAGCGCAAAAGTTATATTAATTCAAACCATTTATCCAACCTGGATTTAAAACTAAGGAATTTATCACAGGTAGAATTAATTCCAACGAGGTATCTGGTATCAAGTAATAGTGGACTTTTCATATTCAGGTCAGTAAGTATATGTTAAAGCAGTGGTTAACAAACTTTCCTAGTCGCGGCGCCCTTTATCAATTAAAATTTTTCCATAGCGCCCTACCCTAAGTATTCCTATTCGTAAATAAGAGATAAAAATAAATAAAACGCGTGTATCTTCATTATTTTTTTTACTTTATTAACATTAAATTGATACTTAATAATTAGTGTGATGGATGAGCCTGCAAATCACAGCACATTTTCTCAAATTGAAGCTTTTACAATATTTCGCGGCTCCCTGGGGCGCCGCGGCGCACAGTATGGGAATCATTGTGTTAAGAGGATTAATGTAACTTTGAGAAAATATACTTTAAGGCTTGGTTTCAAGTTCTGATAAATCTATGTTACTAGCAAATATAATATAGTTATAAGGTAAGATATTTACCATATGCATTCTTAAGAAACTCGCAGTTGAATTAAAGCCATCATTTAACTGAGAATACGCAGCAAAATTCATTTTCAGAGGCTTTATTATTCGAAATTCTCTTTAATTAAGTGCTATTAGTTTAACTTCAATTCTACATAAATTAAAAAGTAAACCCGATTATAGCATTTGCTCAAATGTTGTGCCATTACTGTTTTTATTGCATAATAATAATGCTAGTAACGCAGGAAGTGAGTTATTATTTAGTTATTATTTTGTCCCAGGATAAGGTGTAATTGCTTGTTTTGTCAGAATTTTTGGTTTACTAGTTTATTATTATCAACAGTGTAATGTGAATTACCGGGCTATTTTGAACATAAATGCAAACATATAATTTCCCCAATGCTATTCACTGATAACATATCTGTTAGTTTACACTGTATTCCACGATTTGAAAAGGGGATTTGATTTGGAGGCCAATGAACGAGTATTTCTGGTTAAATTATTTAAACCAGATGCATACCAAAATACTTAAAGAAGCTTTTTTCATGGTGATATGGGAGAAATTAGAAACTATATATTTATTTTATATAAGCTAAGATTCATTTGAATGTCTAAGCCTGCTATACTTTATTTTTGGATTAAAATATGATAATCAATAATGTAAAGTGCTTATTTTTAGCTATGGTTGGATATTTAAATCCCAAAGACGCCTCACAAAGCTCGACAATAAGACCATTTATGCAGGCAAAAGATCGTAGATATGAAGACGGAGATGATGTAGATTTCTGTTTCGCCGCCATGTCCTTTAGATTTATAGTGTTGGTTTAACTCCGTTTTGGCGATTTGGTAGGAGCGACAGAGATTCCTTTTGGAATGTACCTAGTCCTGCGTCCTCTTTCCTACTATTCCTGATTTCCAGCATCGGAAGTGTTACTTTGATAAGTGTTAACTCTGTGCTAACGATGGCGTCTCTAAGTAACAGTGCGGACGAAGTGTTTAAGAAGGTACCAAGTCAATGGTCCAATGCTGGAAATCACGAATACTATGGAGGAGGATGCAGGACTAGGTACGTTTAACAGGGTGCCCCTGTCGCTCAGTCCAAGTCGTTAAAACTAGGTCAAACCAAAATTAAAATAACGT